TTTTTTTTTACATTTTTTTATATTTATGCTTTAAAAAATATATTATAAAGTTTTAAATAATTTGAATAATTTTTTATCAATTTATAAACAAAAATATGCATTTTAAAAAATTTCAAAAAGTTTGTTACATACTGTATATGCATATGTTCGAATAAACTTAAAGTTAAAATTAAAATTTTGTTAAATTGCAATTAAAATATTAGCCTCAACATTATATTAAACCGGCTTTTTTGAAATGGTTTTCCAACATAGCATTATATCTTTCCGATTGTTCACTGCATAATGCATGTCCGCAGCCTTTAAAATAAAAATGTGGTTGAATAATTTATATCTCATTTATTTTAATGCTCGCGTCAATAATTACCTTCCCAACATTCAACATCAACACCAAGTTGTTCGGCTAAATAATAGCTATTATTAGGATTTATCAAATTATCCCATGTACCAGTTACAACTAAAATCTAAAATAAAGACTTAAATATTTAGGCTTAAACTTGTGAATGGTATTCATATACAAAAATGAAACAATTACATGTGAAATAGTGTTTCGGATTTGTTGAAGTCGGCTTGATGATACGTAGTGAGTAAAGCATGCATAAAATTGCCCAATTGCACCTAATTCGTCGAAAAAACAAATTTAGATTATAATAATACTACAATTATCAAGGATTAGTTACCGTTGAATGGTTGAAGACGAGTCCTTTCGATTCGTCTACGCAGATCCTGGGAAAAAAATATATATTATTTTAATATGAATTAAAAGCATCTGTCAGAAGGTCCAATAAAACGAGTTTACCTCCAATACGCGTTCTTCGTTAGTCCTATAAGAGGAACCAATTGGACCAGGTGACTTTAACCATTCCTTTCTCGCGGATACATAATTCAATAAATAAAACCTTACGCTTAACATAGAAATCCAAAATTAAAAATAAAATTACCGGAGGAAATAGTAAGCTAGAGACCACCTTCGTTTTCTGTACGGGATCTCGAATGAAAAAAAGTCTTCCAACAGTTAATATGCCGGTTAACTATATAAGATCATAATTATTCAATATTTTCTTTTTTTCGCTTGAATAAATTTTTGAATAAACTTACAGGTGGTAAAGTCATACCAGATGTCGTCGAAGTTAAACACAAAGATCTTATGTACTGGGGTTTCGCCAAAACCAACTCTTGAGCGATCATACCACCCATAGAAACTCCAATTACATGAATATTTCTCGTCCATCCAAGATAATTCATCAGATCAATAACGTCGCGAGCCATTTGATTTGTACTTGCATAATTTTGTGGCGATAAGATTATTGATTAAGAGGTTATCTTTAAGTATCTCTTCTTGAATCTGGCTTCATTTACCTGTATAATCCATATGGAGAATCTTTGAACAAATAACACGTTTATTAAATTGAATATCCATGACCAAACATTTTGAGGAATTAATAAATATAATACTTGCCTGAAAATCCTACACCACGATTATCAAAAATGCAAACTTGGTAATCTGGATGATTACCAAAGTGCCTGACCTGGAAATATTATTAGGGTGAAAATTTGTAAGGATTTATTTTTTTTTTCATTGCATGAACAAATTGTTAAGAAAATTGCCTGCCTGATAGTCCCAACTTCCAGAAGAACAATTTAGTCCTTTAGTTTAGAAGAGAGAGATTACTTTTAAGGGTTGAATTCAATGTTGGATCAACAAAAAAAAAAAAAAACAAACAAACAGAAAACTACCCATTATGAATAACAATTTATTAGGTCCATGACCATGTAATTCATAATAAATCTTTAGATTTTCAGTTCCATCTTTACGGTGTACACCACCAACTTTTTCATAACCGCTTTTTGTTAAAGTCGACATTTTTAAATGACGCAACGACAACAAAAAAATTACATGCAAAATTTCTGGGTGCTTATTTTATTATCACGTGATTGAAATAGAAATAATTTTTTTTCATTCTTTATTATTTCAAAAGATCTTTTTTTTTTAACTTCTCGTCAGGTTAGTTAATATATGTATGCTTTAGTAAAATATATATATATATTTATACATTACCAAAGCTAAATTCTCTAACTTATTTATTTTTATTAACTTTAAGTATAACTTAAAAATGATTTTCTGTTTTATTAGTAGTTTAGATTCATTATCTATAGGTTATTATTACAGATTACTTTATCAATTTCCAATACTAGTTAAAATCCAAATTTTTTTTTAACCCGCTGTCAGGCAGTTACTTCATTTTATATTTAATTTTATTTATTATAATTTTTATCAATTTTTTTATTTTCTATTCTTTCTTTCTTCTAATTTTTGTATTATCTTGATTTTATCAAAATTAAAGATATATTATAATCCTATTAACCTTTAATTTTGTCTCTATTATAGATATCTTAATTCTATTTTCAATTTAAAATCTTTTTATATCTTGTTTTGGTTTTTTTTTTTTTGAGTACTTGTAATTAGGCTAGATCATAATTTATTAATCAATTGAAAATACGGTTGCTTTCAAAAGTTTGAATCCACTTATTATGTTTTTATTATAAATTTCAACTTTAATAATTTTTAAATCATTAACTATACAGTCAAAAATTATAAAATTTATAT